GAAACCAGAGAATCATTAAAGAACCACTTGAAGGAACTTGGTGGGACAGATTCTGCCCAGCATGTGAGGGTAACACTGTCTTCTGTCGGTGCCACTCTTGGCGCCATGATGGTTGGCATCTCTGGTCCATCTAAAAAACATTGATTAAATACAAAATATGAATTCCCTTCAATAACTGGGTTTTTTTTATGCTTTATAATATGAGATGTTGAAGCTTAAAATGGAAAACACATCCTTTTAACATTATAGAAAATTATTTATCTAAATCTTCTAATCTGTATTTACTCATAATAATACCATAGTTACTCTTTTCTTATACCAGTAATCTAAACTGCTTTCTATACATATTTTCAGTACAAAGTTTGGCTGTTTTTGCTTTTTAATTACCGTACACAGAAAACCTTTCAGTTCATCAAACTAATTTCAATTTCTGATAAAGATAGCCTGAATAATGTAAAAGATTTCAAATGTTTTTCTTCAAAGGGGGAAAAAAACTAAATCAGCCTGGTCTGATATGAAATAGTAATTGATCCCTAATAAAACCTAATAAAACCTAATAACAGGTTATGCCAGCAGTTCAGTTGAAAAACAGTTATCATTGCAGAGGTGTTTAATTGAGTCCAGGGGCTGTTTTTTAATGGTGAAAAATCTAAGCTCATGGTAAAGTATCCCAACAATAATTAACCCCTGACTTTGACTAGACAACTTCAAAACTTTGTTTTTGAGACACTTTTATGGAAACTTTTTGTCCTCAGCTATTGTACCCTACATAAACTGATTGGGTTTGATATTAAGGTCACAAACATGTCTTCCATTTTCTAAAGAGGAAATGTTCTCTCACTACCAAGTTTTTATACTTTTTCTGTAATCTTCTGTCATTTTTTTTACTATGTCAACCCACACAGTATTTTGTAAAAAGTCCAAAGGGTCATACAGATACAATTTTTGGCAAATATTAATTAACCGATAAATTAATTCATTAATATATACTACCCTATGTGCCATTTTTTGACCAGTTGTCATGATCTTGGCACTGATGACTGGCTTAATTCCTTCCATTCACCTGGCTTACTTTGCCCGGTTGCCCATAACCTCTCATCTGATCCACCTGCTCCTGCCTCTATTTAAGCTGCTTGCATCCAGTCATCAGTGCCAGATTATTCTTGTTCTCTCTAGTGAATGGTGAGAGTGTTTTTAGTGAGTACCTTAGCATTTCTGATTTCCTGATCCTGACCTGCTCTGCCTCTCAACCACCGAGCCTGCCTGTTCCCATCTGATCTCATTGGTGAGAGTGTTTGTAGCTTACCTGAGTGTTTCTGATTACCTGATCCTGACCTGTTCTGCCTCTCAACCACTGAGCCTGCCTGTTCCCGTCTGAACGGTTTGCCTAAAATATCTTTGGACTCCTGGACCTCTGAGCCTGCCTGTTCCTGTTCTAATCTGTTTGCCTGACCTGACTTCGGACCCTTGCATGTTATTCTCATCTGGGACATTCTGAGCGGTGCCAGCTGTATCTTGTTGGCAGCCCACCGGCTGGATCCTATCTTGTTCTCTGGGCAAGAACTGAACGGTTAAACCAGGTTAGTGACTCACATGGATAATCATCCTCCGTCAGATTATCATGGTCACTGACCTGTTTTTCTCTCCTGCAGAGTTTCCTGTGATAGATGCCCTAGCCGCTGTTACTCCGATCCACTGGTTTCAAATAATGCTTTTTGAATAATCCCACTGTCTCTCGCCTTGAATACTGGGTCCTGTGTTCTGAATCGTTACACCAGTCTCTTTGTTATTGTTACATCATGGATTGTAACCTAAACTGTGGCCAGTGAAACACAAAGTTCTTTAGATTATGTTCTGAGTTTGTTTATAAACTCCTAGATGTCTATGTGCTCCACTGCCAAAAGAAGAGGTCCCCTAGGATCCCAAACATCTGCAAATTTGTTTGGTTAAATTTCCACACTGAGGGAGGTCAGGTCAGAGGTCTTTAGAGCAGGATGAAATCTGCTGCCTTTTGAGATCTTTATAGATACATAATATTGACAGCTTGATTTGAAAAGCTATTGAAAACGTAACTTTTTTACCTTTGTCTGTTACATTTTTTTAAATTATCTGAATAATTTCAGATTGACAAAAAGCAAAGAACAGAACACCAGTTGGAAAAGGCACCTTTGCATACAACTGTATATTTTCCTTCTAAGCAATAAGGACTAAACATGTGGTTCTTACAGTTTACTTTAACTTCAAAGGGGCTGCTTGTCATGTTGCTCACGTCGTTAAAAACATGACAATCATAAACTCCACCATCCGAATGTTGAACTGGATTGAGAATCAGAGTGCTGTTGTCCATTTCAAAGACAGTTCTATTGTCAGGAACAAGTGGACGTCCATCTTTCCACCACTGAATGCTACCAATAGGTCCTGTGACTTCGCACTGCAGAGAATACATCATGTCCAGTATGGCAGGGCCTCTGCTGTGATTCAAGGTAACTCCTGTCAAAGGATCTGTAAGAGAGGATATAAAGAGATGTCTTTAATAAAGACGTGTAAATCAAGAGACAGAGTGCCGCACCTTCCTAGAGACTCTTGTCTTTGTTTTCCTCACAAAATGTAAAACAGCAGAAACACTAAGTTTAAGTTTTATCCCTTTTTTCACTTTAAAGCATAACACAAGAATCCAAAGAATATAATTTTCTGTAAGTCCTGACCACATATGGTCGACTGAAAGTGCGCAGGTGTAATGTTACAATTTACAATCAAGCAAGTCAAATGAAATCACTGAGTAAATATGATAATGTTATTAAAAACTGTAGCAGCAGGTGCTTGTTAGCAAAGGTTTTTGGAAATAGTTTTTTTTTAGCCAATGATAGCAGCTTTCACACTGTAGTTAATCTGCATTAAAACTGCAAGTTGAAGCTACCCCGCACATTAACATTTGGGATAAAAGATCTTTGCATTTTAACAGAAGTACAATACAACGTTAAAGAGCATTAAATTAATGAAATGCAGAGTATGTTTCACTGGATAAATATAATATTGATTTCAGGAAAGTGTTAAACAAATATTTAATGACAATGTCCGATTTAATTAGGTCATTATCAGGTAAATAAATATATTGTTGGGCCATCCAATATGTAAAAAAATAAAACAAAATTATATCATGTCACAAATGCTGTAACATGTAACATTTGATGCCCTTACATTATTTGCCCACTCAGTTTACAAGACAAGGTTCCCCCTTCATAGAGACAGGCTGATAACTAGCAGCTGACCAAGTTTTAATAAGTGTCACAAGGTTGAGAGCATGCTGAATAAGGTACATTTTAGCAACAAGCCATTAAAAAACAGTGAAAATTTAAATTTTTTGAAAATTTTAAGAGTTAAAAAAACAAACAAATTTGTAAATGTGGGGACAGCTAAAGCTCCCACATGTCCAGGTCTTAGTGTGCATAGCCGAACAGACTCTGCATGCATTGTCTGCAGGGTTTTTTTGCTTAGTTGAGCTTACCAGTTCCCTAAAGTCCTTTCACAAATTCCTATATTTCACCCACTTTCTGTCAGTGGGATTAAGAATGGAAAGGAATTATAGCAAGTATGATGAGGTAGTTGAGTCTTTTTTCATAAATGTATACCAGACACCTTCTGTACAACAAGGCAGTAGAGAGTGGCTATGCAGCTGCACCCCGCCTGACTGGCGTCTCAATGTATCAGCTCTATTCTATTAAATTGATTTTTATCCTTGAATGCAAATTGTGTACATATAACACAACATGCGTGTGGAAAAAAGGAAAGGCTGGGAACATTTTCTGGATGCACTCCAAGAATTCATTCATATATCGCTAAAGATATCAACATTGCAACATTAATCAATATTATCACACATCTCACGTTTTCCTGATATCATACAGGTCTATTCTAGGAACATCCTTTGTAAAATGCATTATAACCAAACAGCGTTATGACAAGGTGTCAGCAAACACTGGTTTAGTTTTAGGTGCACCTGGAGAAAGTATACTGCAACACTTTGCACGACAGACAGAAACAGGTTAACCTAAAGCATCAAAAATGTAAACAAACAACTGCTGACTAAACGTGTGGTAAATCCAGTACAATGCAGGCCAGAGAGTTCGGACGAATGTACAGAATAAACAAAACTGATGTCCCATCACACAATAGCAAGCTCTGCGGGTCATGAATCAGCTCTTCACCTTCCATTCCATATTTAACAACTGAGAATAAGTGAAATGGCTCAAAGAATCTAAAAGTAATTTGTTTGAGTAATTTTTTCCACTATGTCCCATCAGCCTGAAATTCTCAAGTAATTTTTTGCTTCTAAAACACCTACTTGCACGACCAAAGATAATAAGCATCAAGTTCATATTTCATAGCACAAGTTTGTATGAATAAAAGGAGGAACTCTTTTATAGTTAGTTTCAGTTTCCAAAAAGATGACACAACCTGCTTCTAGATTTCAGCATGTGTTGCTGATATGAGCCAAATAAGAAAAGAGAGAAAACCTACCCATCACTTGGATCTTTGAGCTATTGCTGCTGAACCTCATTGTGACTGGGTTGTGAAAGATGCATTTGTAAGTTCCTGAGTGGCTTTCTTGAACATTCTGCAGGTCCAGCTGTGATCCAGACTGATTAAGGTGCATTTCATTAAACATCCACTGGATCTTTGCTGTAGGTTTTGAATCAGTTGAGCAGGACAGTGTGATGTTAGATCCAGATCTATAGATGTTTTTCATTGGTGTCACTGTCATGGTTGTATTACTTGGACCATCTGAAAGGTAAGACAAAAAAAAAAGTTAATGTCAGTGTTGCACTTGTTGAAACAAGATCGCCTATATATTATAATTTTTTCCAAAACTTACAGCTGATGTTTAGATTCAAAGGGGGGCTGAGTTCATACCCCAGTCCGTTTGACACATTGCACCTGTAGGGACCCTGATCAAAGCGGGTCAGGCCAGCTATGCTAATGGTTGCATTTCCATCGCTAAGCTGCACATCTGCCCCATTTGATATCGTAGAGTTTCCAACCAACCATTCATAGGACAAAGATGTGCCATTGGATACTGAGCACATGAGGATCGCTGTGCTATTGAACTCCACCAGATCTGTTGCTTTTGCTGATAAACCCACACCTGAAATTGGCACTGTAAAGAAAGACAAAAGGTTTTTCACAATTGAATTAACATTTTTGCTTCACTCTCTGAGCTAAGGCTCATATCTTATGACATTATTGGAAATCAAACACATTTAGTTCTGATATCAGCCTAAATATATTAACTAGTCCTCATCTGTGATTTACAGTATGTTTAAAAAATATGCAATTATTGTGCAGTTCTTGAAGATGGTCAGCCAGCTATTAATTTATTGGATAATTCCCCCCAAAAAACAAAAAACAATCAACTGGACTTTGATTTCAAGTTTAAAGATGTTTCACTTCCAACCTAGGAAGCTTTTTTCACTTCAAAATGTCAGAAATAGTACTCTATAAAGCCTCGGACTGAACACTAATTCTGACATTTTAAATTGAAACAGCTTCCTGGATGGAAAGTGAAATGTCTACAAACTTGAAAACAAAGTCTAGTGGTTTGTTTTTTAAAAACTTTTTTGGAATGAGTTTAGCTAATTTTGGTGCGTAATTATTTTTGTTTTTGTTTATTTACTAAAAATGTAAAAAGAAAAATGAGGAAGATGACGAGCATCTCCTTGAAAGAAATCATAATTTGTTTCTTAGGTTAACCAAATTCTTTGTGTACCATTGTGGTGTTTATAATATTTTAATCATGACTGCATCTCAATGTACCCAAGGTATAGTCCTGTTAAGGATTTTATGAAAAGATATAAAAAAAAATGGATAAACTTTCCTGATAATACTTGTTATCATATGTTTATTTATTTATTTTAGAAAAGAACTGTATTTTTTCAAAAATTTCATTTGAGATCTTTTAAAAAGGTCCCTAATCCTGTCAGTCATTGTGTTTGGTGGAAAATTAAAGCTAATCTATTATCTAATTTTGAATCATACCTCGCAATCAACTGGTTTTACTTAGATAGAAAACTTTGAACCAATTTGACTGTATGATCTGCTTGAATTGTCTTTATAAAGTGTCTTTAGATGACATATGTTGTGAATTGGCACTATGTAAATAACCTAAATTTAATTTAATTAATATCACATCATGTTCTCTAATGAGAAAAAAACCCAGTCTTTTCACATGCTAACTACACACAGTAAATAAAATAACTGGAAAAGCACATCTGAACAACTACGTTTTCCTTTTAACCATCTATAATTTAACAAGATGAAGGTTGATACAGTAATTTCACCTTAAAAAAATAATCTCAACATCCTCCGTTTTTAAATCATTCATTATAAATCTTCAACACTTTAACTTATTTTTTGCCATTGAAGGGGTTAAAACAACCAATCTGGAGTTTGAGTAGTAAAAAATACAGTTTTTATCATTTACATTTAGAAAATCATTTGTTTTAATGCTTTGGATTTGTCATTCACTGTTCTCAGATATTAAAAGTAAGATTGATATACAAACCCAGGAAATGTATTTGGTTTTTTTCGTTATTAGTTTGCCTTGCAAATCACTTCTGTGCAAATCACTAAAATTAGAAAGCTATCCATTTAATGTTTTAGCATCAATGACATAACATTGTGAAATGCAAAGAAAGACTTTATTATGCCCAGTGTTACATATTACTGAGTAAATATGAATCGTGAGTGTTCTTACCTTGGACTGACAGCTCTATCTGAAAAGAAAACCCATTTATTTGTTCTATTTTATATAATCCGGAGTCCTCTTGTCTCACTGATTGTAAAGTCAGCGACGACGTGTTGGAAATAAATATAATTCTGTCACTCTTCTCCTTGTTTATCATATAACCTCCAGGGTAAATTAACACCAGTAGGCTTCCATGGAACATCCAAGCCCCCAAGGTAACTTCAGCATCACTGCTGATTGTCACATTTGCGCCCACTGGTACAGGATTCATAGAGACATGTATGCTTTGGCTTTGCACAAGATCTAGAAACAGACAACAAAAAACTTATACACATATCCAAAGAGAAAAGAATAAGAAAAACTTAAATGTAGTCAAGATCGCTAAAATTGTCCATACTTTTAGATTTAGTCTTTTTGTATAGATTTATGACATAAAGATACTTAAACAGATATTTATTTCTACAGAATATCGACACAAATATAAAGTTATATAGAGCTGAGTGGAATACTTGCATATGAAGTCAAGTTAAAACATATTTCAAATTTACCTGTCAAAGTTAGTGTGGTCAGGATTAGGAAGAACCCCCATTGGGATCCCATGCTGCTTTTTAAGATCGCCTTTGCCAAAGAGAACAGACTGCACTTTTGATTTAGTAAATTCAAATCTAGAAATACTAAATTTTTCCAGCACATTGACAAGCAAATACTTGCTGTGTGCTCTCTTGATGCTTTCCTGGTCTTCTAATGCTGTGCCACATCACAGCTGCTGCCACACCTTGTTTTGCCCTGATGCGGTTTTTATAGACGTTCACCTAGGAGTGTCCATTTACTGTAAACTCTTGTTCGTCATTTTTCAACTTTCAATCAACCAAAGCCTCACATTGAATTATTTTGTGGGATCACGTTGAGCCATTCACTTAAAAAAATGGGAAGTGGTGCCCCTAAAACATATCCAAGTACCCTCGCTGAATACTTCTAAACATTTGTGATGAATGCAGAGTGCTAAAACTGGAAACATAAACTTGATTTGGATTGCATTTAATAAAGTTTAAAGTAAATATTGTTTTATATTAAGCTATGACTTATAGAAAGCATTTCAGATATTCAGGTAAAAAATGAAGTTAAGGTTGTATTCCAAATGTGAGGAGGATTTGTTAGAGGTCACCAGACGGTTGTTATGCCTCAATGGACACGTTCTTCCTCCTGTTCTGTTTACTATAAGCACAAACCCACACTGTGATATAATATTTATACTTCTACTCCTCCTTCAATCAAACATTTCCCAAGAACAATGAAGGGGAATATATTATTTTCCCTTCGGAAAGGCAACGCCAATTTTATTCATACAGCACATTTCCCTATCAAAACTACTCAAAGTCCTGTACATGAAAGAAAACATAACAGAGAAACCTATATTGCACTAGCAAAGAAAAAATATGATTATACTGTATGGAATGATTTAATGAAAACAAATAATAAAATGTGCAAGGTAAGGCTAGTTTACTTATTATTGTAAACTAACAAAGACACTGATAGCGTGTCATCTGCCTTCAAATATTGTTTAAAGGTTATACGTTTAAAAATAAGGCGGATTTCATGTTTCTGTTTGTGGGTCCATTTTACCAGATGGTGCCATTAATGACAAATATATGTTAACATGTACATGTTTTAAAAAGCTCTTTAGGAACCTTTTAAACAACAATTAATATTTTTTTCTAGTATCAGAACATGAATTCCACTTACAAAAAAAAAAAAAGGAAATAATCAGAGGGAGATATCTTTTGAAATGTTTTAACATATTTTTTGTGAACCCAACGTTTTGTGAAAGATAACAAAAAAAATGTAAATGAGTTATAAAAATTATCTGTTTATTTAGTAAAAAGATGAACATAAAAGGGTGGACCTTGAGCATGACTGGATAGACTCACAATATATTAATCTTTGGCCTCATGAGCACAATTATTCTAAATTTCATTATGTTAATACAAAATGGGTTCCTTCTTCTGAATAGGGGAATAATAGCAGTTGAAAAGAATGATTTTCATCCATTTGACCTGAATATAAATCACTAAGCAAAGCAATTAACTGCAGAACAAGAAAATAAAATTAGTAATTTGTTTAGATAATTTTGGAATAGTTACTGTATTTTCACCCTTGTGCTAATGAAGCATTTACTTTTGCCCAACTACCTGCTTTTTATCGGTCTGCTTGTTCTGGCTAATAACTGAATTTAGATGCTAAAATTAACTTCCTTCCTTCAGCATCTTTTGAAATATAAAGACAAATGTAGAGATAATATATATACAAGTTATAGTTACATTTTTAAGTATGAATCTACCAGCTTTGTTTGAACTAACAATGAGTTTCTGACTTCACCTAAAGCCATGGCACTCTTCACAAGCAAAGGGGAGAAAGCCTGATAATTTTGTCAGTTAATAGCATTGATTGATTGATTGATTGTGTTTATTGATCTCACAGAGGAGAAATCACAGGTTAAATAGTCAAAGAGAAAGAAGGTGCCAAAGGAAGAAAAGGGTGCATGGTATATATAGTGTTTCCACATATGAGATCATTTGACATATGGGGCATTAATATGTTGTATGTAAAGTAAAAGTTGTGAATAACTGAAGTAGAATGAAGACACATTTTTTTTATGTTGTTTTATTAGATATTGTTTACCTTAGCCCACAGTAGAAATGTTTAACTGCCCTCTGTCTTCCTGATTCCCTTTCTTGCCTCATTTTATCTAACAAATATCTAATACAGTGTCTTTAACTTATTGTAACAATAACTGCACATAATTCAGATTGCTATTTGCTGAAAAGAAACCATATATGTAGCTATTTCCATCCCCCAGACATCATGGTCTTTGTGCAGGTCTTTCACATTAAACCTTTAAAAATACATTATACAGGTAGAGGCACGTGGGTAGGGAGTGTGACCCATGTACGCCCTGCACCACACTACAGACACCCGGTTCCTCAACGTAGCCGTCCATGCTGTGAATCTAAACATGCAGATCTTTGCTGTGTGTCTGCCACTTTTTCCACCTCACTTCCTTTCAGAGGACTTTTAGAAAATAAAGGCCATGGGAGTTAAAAAAAAAAATAAAATAAGTGAAACAAACAAAAAAACAAAAGGTAAAACTTTATTAAATTAGCCAAGCACTGGTAATGGGAAGCTGCTGTGTGCAAACATGCTGCTGCTTTCTATTAAGATGGAGAAAGAGGAGAATTATATTTAATTCTGTCTTTAAACTGAGAATCAAGGTTACAGCACATTTAATGTCTTAGTTTTTCTTTCTAAGATGTCTTACTGTTGTTGCAATCCTATTTTCTTTGTGGCAGAAAAACAGAACATGACACAAAATGTCTAAATTAAAAATGCTTTATTTATATTAGCCAAAGAGATAGACAGAAAATAAACTGCAAAGCCATAACCCCTATTTTAGCTGATTGGAGCTGATTGTACATACTCCACTTTAACACACATTATTCTTAAATGTTGAATTTAACCAGAAGAAACTTCTTTAGTTACATCCAAAGGAAATATAAGGCAATTAGTGAGTAACTTTAAAAGGAATATATGATGCCTCTTAGATTTTAATCTTTGATTGTATAACCTAGAATACTAAAAAATCCTGAAATTATCAGAATTTGCAACAATTTTTTGCATAATGCAGAATAAATGTATTAATAATCTGAGCTATAAATTCCCTTTAGTAATATTTTTTTTTTTTAACATTTTTAACATATGTTCCCATCTATTTGGAAAATGTACCAAAACAAAAATTATTGTTGTCTTTTTATTCTGATTAATGCTAAATTCATTACATCACCGCAAAGTTTAGTTCTGGTTCAGATAACGATCAATTGATTATTCCTTGCTGATTGGACTTTTCTTTATATTTGTGAATATCTATTCACAAATCCTCCATCTCCTGACATTGGTTCATGTTATCTGAAAGCATTGAATTCATCCTGGGACTGAAAGATCCTCATTGATCTGTAAAAAAAAAAAAAAGAAAGGGAAGTTTAATGACTTATTATACTGGTAATAAGACCTTAATAGAATTTGTTTCTATTTTAATTACATAAGTAACTTTAATTTGGGTAAAAATTCAAGCCCACACAAACAAAAAAGGTTATTCATTTAACTTGACTGAATTTAGTAACTGCATAACCTGATTAAAATGGCACATCTCAGTGTATGTATAAGGTTTTAGATGAAAGCATCCCTTTTAAGTATGCAGATGTGGGGGTAAAAAGAAAACATATGAAAACAGCAAAGGAAAAACATGTTGGGGTGAATATCAATTCATCTGTTATTACGTTTTCAAAAGGTTTTGAATAAAAAAAAAATTGGTAACTTGCCTGCAATTGATAAAGAGAATCCAGTCAAGATCAGCAAAGAAAGAATAAATATATTCACTTCCAGCTGTTCAGACTCTGTGCAGAAAAAAAAAATTCATCAGATAAAATAAGTGACATGACACTGATATAGTTTTATGGTTTATACCAAAACAAATAAACAAAGTAAGTAGGCACTTAGCTCAGTGCTACTTTATGATATAAAGTAAAGCCCTGATTCCAATAACTCCGTTAACCCACATGCTTTGTGCTGAACATTGCCAAATCAGAATAGTGTATGGAAAACAGTCTTGGAAGTGCTGTTGCCTTTAAATGCAGCAGTGTGAAAATGGCTACTGGCCTTAAAGCATCAGTTGCAATTTAGATACTGCTTGAAAATTAGAAAGTAAAAATAGAAAAACAATACAATAATTTGTTTAAGTTAACCACCCTCTCTTTTGGATAAGCAAGCTGTGAAAAGGGGATTTTGTCTCTATGAAGAGGCTTACTTGATATTGTAATGTAGGTTGTTACATTGCTGCGCAGGTTGGTGCGGTTGTTGAAGGCCAGGCAGGAATATGGACCGCTCTGGTCCTCTCTGACATGAGAAAGCTCCAACATTGTTCCTGTTACATTCACAATGTTCCCCTTGAAGGCCCACTGAAGATAAGCTGGAGGGCTGGACTCTGTTAAACAGAGTAGGCTCAGATTTGACCCAACTGAGAAGGAAGTGTTGTTCAGTTCATTCACAATGACACGCATGTTATCTGGGCCATCTGAGGAAGTGATAAAGAAAAGAGAGGAATAAATCGAAACCTTTGGGTGGAAGGTGATTGTCTCTCCGAGAATGACTTCACTGTAAATAAGGTAACTTACAGCTTACTGTGAAGTTTACTGAATCACTGCTCCCATTACTGATAGGATTAGAAACATCACATCGAAATGGTCCTGAATCATAGCGGCTCACGCTGACAATGTTGAGAGTGGAGTTTCCATCGCTGAGCTGAACTCTGTCAGAGGCTGTAATTTCAGAGCTGCCATTCATCCAAAGGAATGACAGAGAAGATCCAGTCGAGACGGAGCAGTTAATCAGCCCTGAGGTTTGGCGCTCTATCAGATCACTTCCATTTATGTTGAGGGTCACATTTGATATGGGCTCTATGGATATAACAGGGAGGAAATGTCCAAAAATGTTCTAAATTAGATTCTTAATCACTGTTGATGTAGAAGCATATTAAGGCTTTCCTGACAATTACTTTCTCTCACTGTTAGAAAAAGAAAAAGTAAAAGAAGCTGAATCATCCTAAAGGTCAGTTGTCAGTCTAACTAATGTGATAGTCAGAGTATTTTTTTAATAATTTCTTTTATTATTATTTTTATTTATTTATTTTACAGTTGGAGTATTTTATTTAATACAACTCTGTATAAATGCTGATTGTCTTGTTAATTTCGATAAAGATTCAGTCTATGACTCATTTTTGTTCTGAAATGACTCAGACTGGTATCTGGGATGAACAATGTTGGCCAAGATATTCCACTTATTTTTTTTTATTTTTTATTTTTTTTTTTTACAGTATTTAAAAATGTTATAAGTTAAGCTAGTCAGTAACATTTTCATCAATTCCCAACAGAAGACCTAAAATATCAATCAACTATTTGAAAAAAATGTCTGTTTATATTTTTGTTTAGGAACCTTTTTATCTACCTACCTGCCTGCCTGACCATAGGAGATTATGGACATGAAGCTATTTTTAACTGTCTAAAAATATATGTAGACTGTACTTTGAATAAAAATATGTGTTCCATACAAGCACAGATTGTCTTTTGCATGCTTAAAAATTCAGTCTTTAAAAATGATTATTTTTAGCACTTCCTTACCGGTTTCTAGGAAACTAAATGTTCAAATACTGTAAGCTGCTTATATCAAAGGAAAAAGGTGAGTGTTGACACAGAAACCAACCAGAGGACAAAGTCTCATCATCATGAAACCTGAGCACAAGCTGGTCTATAACAATAGGTAAATATCACGAGGAAGCACTTTGATTTCCTGTAACCCCCTCCCTGTCTGAAACTTTTTGTTGGAAAGATTTTTCATAACAACAGAAACCAGTTCCAATGAAGTATGAAGTGTAAACAGACCATCAGCCCTTTTTTTCCCCTTGCCCTTCCTCATAAAGTGGCCCAGTACAAAGTTGTGAAAGACTTTTCACTCTTATGTCATTCAAATATAAATATTTAACACTTACTAGTTTTATTGAAAGTATTTTTAAAAAAAAGGATCAGTGTGTTAAGTTATTCTTGTATATACATACCTACAACAGTGAGAGGAACGCTGGCCTTTAGTAGGGGGTCGCCGCTCTGCACTGTGTAGACCCCTGTGTCGCTCACAGTGAGGGAGCTCAGGGTGAGATCTCCACTCGTCACGTTAACCGAAGCCCTGCTGCTGTAACCAGGAAAAACCGCCTGCTGCTGCCCAAGCCAAGTAAGGATGAATTTCTCTCCCACCGCCCAGTTGCCACTTGTCAAAGTCACAGAGGGAGACAGCGACAGCGTCACTGTGCTTCCGACTACTGCTGGGTTCATAGAAGCTAGAACCTCTGCAGCATCACAGGAAAGAAAACCTACTAAAAAGGAAAATTGATTAATATGCTAAAAAAAATCTCCCACATTTCTAGATATCACATATCCTTGTTAAATTGTTACCTTGTAAAGATGACAGAAATATAAGTGTCAAGGTGCTGCAGGTCTTCCTCTCCATGTTTTTTCAGTTGTCTGACAAACTGCTTCTAATTTCAGCTTATTTCACCCCTGTCCACCGCCTGTCCAGCCCCCAACCCATAAACCTGCCACCTCAGGTCTTATCTGCAGGTGGCTCTGGGACATTTTCTGTTAATTCTTGACAAATTTACCAAAGGTGGAAGTATTTTTGTTTGCCATTATGGGTGAAGTTCTGTTAAATGACAAATGATGACAGAAGGCATGTTGGTGATAAAGGCCTGTAGGGATGAGGAATACTGTTCACTCAATAGTTGGCCTTGTTCACTTGAAAAATAAAGAAGATGAAGTCACTACTGTTTTCTTGGGTTATGTTTATCTGCATGTCTTTTACATCTTTTACTTCTTGCCTTATTTTCTTTAGGATTTTATTTGAATGACCATATAGTGGGACTGGAAAATTAGCAGTATTCCTTCAACATGATTCTAATGTTTCTGTCATGATCTGCCCTGATAGCGGACCTTAATTGTTCACCTCATTCACCTGCGTAACTCTGCCCGGTTCCTAATAATTCCTCATCCTATCCACCTGTATCTGCTGCTCAGCCCAGCTATTGGGGCCAGATCATTGTTTGATGTTTGTTGTATTTTTGTTCGGTTAGGTTGAGTTATTTCCAAGGTTCATGTCCTCGTTCCCGGAGGCCACTGGGATTTTTGTTTTTTTTTGTTTTTCAGCTCAAGTCTGGTATGCAGGAGAATTCTTGCTTTTCTGTTTTAGTCTGCTTTCGGGTCTGTGTCTCCCGCTGTCAGTATCCATGTTTGTTTTTCGCCTGAGTTGTATGGGAGCCAATGATCTGTGTCCGGTTTTGACCAGCCCTCCCCACCCAGTTTGGTTTATTTAGTTTTTTTCCAAGGTGTTTTAGTCCGGTAGGGCGTCGGAAATCCACCCTTGGGGTGGATGAATCACTGGATTCCAGGGGGGGCAGATCATTGTTTGATGTTTTATGTTTGTTTTGTCAGATTTAGTTAGTCCAAAGTTCATGTCCCCATCCCCAGAGGCCAGTGAGTTGAGAGGGTATTTTGTGTTTGTCTTGTCTCCTGATTGTGTCTTGGCCCTTGGAGGAGTCCAGTTTGAAGTCCCATCGTACTGGCTCTTCGGTGGAGACCAGTTTAAAGTTTTGCAGTTATCCTGGTACCTTGTCTTGTGTTTCTCCATCGAACTGAGCCTGCCTGTCTGCATCTGTGTGTGTCTGTATGAGCTCGCTGCACTACTCTTGGAACTCTGAACCCGCCTTCAGGCTCTGTGGATTCCTGAAACCCTGAATATGTCTGTTCTTGTGCGGATCAGAATCCCTGATTGGGCTGCGGACTCCTGGATTCAAGAACTGTTCCTGTCTGATCTGTTTCCCTGACCTGCTCATTGGGGTCCCTGCATCGGGGACACTCTCTGGGAGGCTCTGCACTGCTGCTCGTTTGGCAGTCCATCGGTCAGATCCTGCTTTCATGGACTGAACTATTCAACCAGTTAACCCCCAGATTCCACATACTCCGTCAGTGCTCCGCTCCGCCCCGCTGACGTACGTCGTGCGGAGCGCTTGTCTTTCATGTAAATCGATGTGAGCTGTTCCACATCCACCGCTACTCCTCCGCACGTCTCCGTCCATGTACGTCTTCTCCGTCCTTCACTGACAAAATACGGAGCCGAGCAACTTTTTGCTCCGCTCCGGTCCAGCCAGGTCAAGATCCGCAATTGCAATCGCACCAAACAGGAAAAAGAACATCGAGAAATTCCGGTTAGTCAAATTAAAATATAGTAACAACAGATCGGTGACTAGAAATTATAGCATAATTCTGATTGGATGCAAACTATTGGTTATTCACCAACCAGGAAGCAGATTTCTCATCTCCATCAAAATATTTATTCTATACCGAGGGACTTAAAGTTTAATAAAATCCATTCAAAAGAAACTTCTTATTACAGGAAGGGAGGAAGAGATGCTGAGTTTGGGAGTAGAGAACAAACAAAGTTCATTCAAAAAAAGCAGTTTTGAACGCAACACACGCGAATCGAACCAAGACAGTCGAACCGAATGGTTTGGACGGTTTTCATTAACCGTTCCATCCGTGATGTAAACACACACACACACACATATATATATATATATATATATATATGTAGCAATTAATTTGCGTTGAACTGATCATAAAGTCGTATGTTCGGCTTTATGATATGAATATATATATTCTCTAGCTTTTTATATTCTCTAGCTTTTTCTCCGCCTCGGGCTTCCTTTCTGAACATACAGCTTTATGATCAGTTCCACGCAAATTAATCGCGAAATAATATATCTGACGAAATTGTTTTTATTAAAATTTTTACTAAAGAATTATAAATGCCACGATAAACATATTTAATAAATCTTAGTGGCAATTAAGGCCTTAATTTAAAAAAAATTAATGAATTGTAATTATTTTTGTTGATCCGCGGAAACCCTGGTTCATTTCCGCATGTTTTGCTGCTTTGAATTATTTAATCATCTCGTGCATGCCCTCTACGATCTCCAAGGAACTCAGAGCGGAGCGGACGGGAGCCACAGTGGAGGCTGTATGCTTTGCTTTGCGCAGGCGGTCTGGATTGCAGTGGAGCCCTGACGGAGTATTTGGGATTTTGGGGTAAGTGACTCACACAGATAATCGGGGTGGTACCCCGCCTCCTCCCTGCAGCCGCTGCGGTCTGCAGATCGACAACAGCCGCTTGTGTTCCATTGTGTGTTTTGGGCTAATAATCTTTTTGAACTTTCATACTGACTTTCTCAACTTGAATACTGGGTCCATTTGTCCTGTTTCATGTTAGGAATGTAAGGATTATGCACAGTAACAGTTTTCTTTACACCTAGGTTTTGGCATGGAGGCCAAGATGGATCTAAACCTTCTTACACATTATCTGTGACCCCTAAATGGCTTCAGTCATTTTTCACAATGACAATAAACCCATTTTTTTTAAGTAATTTTTTTCATAAGTTTGAAAGTCTTTCACTTCAAATCAGATCCAGCGTGGTTTTGGTATAGTTGACCTATTGGCAGATTCTCTCCCCTGTGCCGTTATTCTATGGGGCTCTGCCAGAGATATCTAGGTTCTTTGAAGGGCTAACTTGATAATTGCCCTCGGTTTTGCCACCTATAACTATAGATAGATGGGCATGCTTTAGATTTCAGTTAATTAATTAAACAGTGTGAAATTAGATATTTAAAGCATCTCATATCTTCGCATGCTTTAAAACTTCTACACTTTCTTTCATTTAATTTTCTTCACTAAGGCTGTTTAATTAACCTCTTAGGCTTTCTCTGGAATAATTTTGCTTGATTTCAGATTAAATTACATGGAGTTCATTGCCAGTGAGTTTATGAAAGAAATAAAAAATTAAATACCAGGTAATGTTTCTGTCCTGTCCAAAGTGTAACCGACCTGTAAACCACAGAGCACTGGAAAACGGTGTCGATTCAAGAATTGTTGGATGGACGGATGGATGGATGGATGTTTGTTTTCTTCTATTTAATTATGCACAATTTATGTTAGATTATTGCATATAATATAAATAAAATAAATATAATGTTGCTGCTGTAAAACAAGTTTAAAATAGAGGTTAAACATACTTAAGTGGGACACTATATTTTAGAGTAATAATCTTAAAAGGTCACTAATCTTACATAGGACACTTCTATAGCTCTGCAGGTTTGTATGTCAGACTAAAAGCTATTGCTAGTTCATGTTTTATAAGCAAGTTTCATACAGGATAAATGAAACACCCACCTCATCTTGTATTATGATATTTTTTTCTTATTTAGTCTGAATATTTAAATAATGGTATGCCTCATTTTCTAATCTAAGTGAAAAAAAAAAAGTTTATTGTCCAGCAATTGACCAGCATTTCAAATAAGGAGATTCACACAGAATTATAATTTGAAAGTATATGAAAAAGAATAAAAAAATAAAGTACTGCACAGTAAGGGCATGTAATTGTTACTATAAATTCTTGTAGTTATTTAAAAGACGACCAAATGTACAACTGCTGGGGGTAATTCAAAAATATCTAAGTTTATTTGGCAGGGACAGACACACATCGACATAGACTATCTGAACAAAACAGTAGTCCCTTCTTCCCTGAATTAAAATGACTATTTTACAATAAGTGATAGTTAAAGCAGCAACAGCAGAGGTGTTATAGTTACATGTGCTTAAACACTTTTTAAGCTTGTTGGGAGCAGTGATGGAAAGTCTTACAGCTGTTGGTTGGTTGGAAGTTGGTTGGATAATGCTCTTTTGTGCATCTAGGATGACGCAGTTTGCCACTGAATGAGCTCTGCAGTTCAGCAACAGCTTCATGAGGTGGGACATTGTTGCATAGGGATGCTAATTTTAGCTGAAGTCCTGCTGTCTCCCACTACCTGCATCATACTGAGAGGGCATCCAAGCAAAGAGAAAATTATAAAATTGAAAAATAGTGTCTACAATAAAACATCCTATTTATTGTTTTTACAAGGCTATTGTCAGGTTCTGACATCTACCTATGCTTTTTTTCCCAGCATCAGGTCTTAAATAGATTATTAAATAGCCTACAATAGCCCTCAGTAAGCAGCTGGGGCTCTATTGTTACTGTGGTGGACCAAAGTTCAGTATCTGATTGACGTAATGGACATGACCCATGGAAAGACTGATTGATGTCTTCACAATTGGTATAACATAAAGGTTAGTGTGTTTGCATTATAAAAATGCACAAACTGTCCTTTTAAGTCTTCATTCCATTCATCTATTCATTCATTATTTCACGGCAATTTGAAGTCTATTTAACCTCATTTAGGGTCAGAGGACAGATCTGCCCTGGATAGATAACCACTAAGACACTGAAACAAAATGAGCTCCTCTCACTGTTATGGTTCACTAAAATTTATGTGTGAGGGATTTTAGCTCATTTCTTTGGAAAGAAAACTGAACACCTGCAGAAAACCCATTACACTGGGAGCATATGCAAATTCAACACATGCGCTCCTGTGCGGTGAATGTAAACCACAGTAACACCAGGGCACTCCTTTTTATGTTCAGTCTTTGATTGTCTCAGGGTATAAACACATTCACATGCAATGGTCATCCTTCTTTTGTCATTGCCTTGACCTCTATTTATTTGGTGCAGCCAATCTCTCACAATAACAGAACCCGAGGCTGTTACTGGGACCAGGTTCTAAAAAGTTACAGCTAAAATCCTTTTATACAACATTATCTTGGTTTATAGTTGTGAGGGATTTGCACAAAACCAGCCAGAAAACTGCTTAAATTTTTCAAATAATGATAAACTGGGCCCCAAAACAGAGATCAACAAAACAGAATTCAATTCAGGCTTTAACATAAAGAACTCAAGCACAAACTGACATGAGGGAAACTGAAATAGTGGCTGATCAGGCCATTGATGACACACAAGGGGGATAAGTGACTAACAAACTAACAAACTTAATTAAACAGATACATACGCGCCAGACACTAAATACTTTTTAAATCTAACTAATTAACAAAATTACCCAAACTTAGAATATTTAAACAAATGATAAACAAATTTCCCTTCCCATTACAAATGGTTTGACCTGCTGATTAGCCTGCAACAACCAATTGAGGAAAGCTGGAGCTCATTGAGGCCCTCCACCAGCAGATCCCACGAAACTGGCAACTCAAAGAAAAAGGAAATTAACCAATTACATCTTGACAAAAAAACAACAACCTGACAAATAAAGTTAACTAAATGTGTGCACTGCAAAGTCAGTCTAATGATAATATATGAAATGTGCAACTCATTTTGAAAATGAAAAATGTAAAAGTTACCACACAGCTTCAGAGTGTGACAGCAGGCTGTCACAATAGCCAAAAGAACAGTTTTTGATTTATTTAAATGAAAATGTTACTTGGCTTTCATCCTGTAAACATATCAATTCAGCTAATGCTCACCCCCATAATTAATAGTCATTAACAGACGACACCCAAACCAACCACAGCTCTTGGCTCTAGATCTAACATCCTCTCAGAAATGATGAATGTTTTTATTGTGTTAAAGCAAAAAATGTTATACAGCTAAAAAAGCATTATAAAACTGCTTCTTATTAAAGCAGAACTGTTAATAATAATATGAGGAATGAATAAACAAATGTTTACTCAATATGTCTTTGAAGCATTTTAGTGGACTTGTGCTGATTATATGATCTCTACTAATAATAATGAAGCTTAATATATTGTGTTCAATTCAATAAGAGGATAATGCAAATTTATAAAAAGCATAAAATAATAAATAGCATAACTAATAGTTTAATACTGCACACCCATTAGAATAACTTACCCACTTTATGAAACAAACACCCTATATAGTCTACGTCTCACAGCATTATAACTGCTGTCTGAAAACTTTCAGCCAAACTCTTGATATTTTTATAGTTTAACTACAAAAAAATCAGTAATACTGAGCAAAATATTCATAAACTGCAACTAAACACTAATATTAGATACACTTTATGTTTCAGGCACAATATATCCATTACATGTGAGCAGAGCGCCTCCTAATGCCAGCAAAAAGTATAACATCAACATAAAGTCATAAGAAAAAACAATGATCATAATTTTTTTTGTTTGTTTGTTTATCAAATATAGGAATGTAAAACTGCATTATTCACTGGTTTTCTAGCTTTTATCTACTGCATGGTATTGATAATCATCACTGTACCCTCAGAGAATATTTAATCCAACATATTTTATCATAACAGCAGCTGATGAAACAATAGATTTATCTGGAAGCTTTATAGCTCAGTCTGAGGGCACACTGACCATTTTAACAGAAATTATTCCCATAATGATAAAAGCAATAATTTTCCTTTCCTCTTTTTATTCATTATTTGCCATATTCACCAAGTGATGCCTGTACATGGTATTGTAACATGAGGGTAATCATAAACAGATTACATCACAAATAGTAAAATATATACAGCTCTGTCCTGTAACATATAATGTTTGTGTTGTAATAAAACTCTTGAGCTTTACCTTTAAGCTAAACAACATCTTGTAGTTTTAAAATACTTGAGTCCATATCACAGAGGGTCAGATGTACAAGTATACAAATTTACAAAAACCTTCTCTTGTTTTGATAACCTGTAACTTCTGAAGATCAGAAACTAAAGGCTGTGATAAGATTCACAGATTTGTATTATTAGTGACTACAGATAAAAAGCAAAACAAAAGCCTCCTTTTTCCTGAGATTGCTCAGTGATATACTTACTCTGGTATATTTGTTCAGTTTCAGACAGACACAATAAGAGTGGTGATTCAATGGCAAACAATTTAACAACTTAACGCTTTCAGTAACATTCTGAGTGAAGAATGTAAAGTCAAACAAAGACTAATAAACAGACTGTTGGTGCTTAAGCTTGAATCTGAACATAGATAAAGCAGTTAATGCTACAAAAGCAAGTCTGACCTAACATTTTACTACTGTTTGAATTTATGTAGCCTAAAAGAAATCAAGTTAAAGGTTCAGTCTTTAAACTTTTCAGTCAGTTAAATATTGGGGATAGAAACTTGATTTCCCAATTTCTTTCACAAAACTAAACATTCCTGAAGATCTATGGGAAGACAGGAAACAACAAAATATATCTTTTTTTTTCAGTTTAACAAAACACCAAATGTATTTTTCTGCCGAGGTGGCTCTCAATGATGTCAATGCTTTTTCAAAAGTAGATGGAGCTGGGATTTGAATCAGCAGCCCTCTGGTTGGAGAACAACCATCTGCAGGTAAGTAATAAAATAACCACAGTGCTTCTATGATTTTATGTTCAAGAATTTTGGTTGCTTGGTTTTTTATTTTATGGCTATATAAATAAATAGATGAATTATTGAAAAGGGGGTTTTGTGAAATAACAGCTCAGGCCTTCATGATAAACAATTTATTTATGATCAATCAAGTTTTAATTTCACCTCTAAAACAAAGAAATAACACTTAAATTGAGGTATTTAATGTTTGATCTGCTTAGGTCTCTTGTTCATCAGCGTGATCAAGTGTAATAACAATAAAGCAGATAAACCAAGACTATAAAAAATAGATAAATAGTACACGTACAGTATAATAGTACAATAGTACAGAATAAAAAAAAAACAGTACACCAGTTATTTTAAAATCAGATTACAGTTTTGTTAATTAAAAAGAAAAAGAACACAAACACTGAAAGTCCATTAAGATGCATTGCCTCTGACCCAGACACTGGAATTCCTGTTAAGAGATAAAGACCAAAAATAATACAAATAAATTTAACTTGTCATTATTTATTATCAGGTGGAATACTACAAACTGCAGAATATTTGTTTGTACCTTTAACTTCTACTTTCTTTGTGTCCTCAGCGGAGCGTCCTGCAGCTTTGTTCTCTGCAATACAAGTGAAGTTCTGAAAAGTCCCTGGATTAGAGGGAATCCACTTGAGGTGATTTGCATTAACTGAAAGGAAAGACCCAATGGGGAAACCTCCCCTGAAGTCCCACCTGACAGTACATTCAATATTTAGGGTGCAGCTGGTCAAACAGGAGAAATGACTCAACCTGCCAGGAAACACCACATCAGGTCCGCTGATGGTGACGTTCCATGGATCATCTGCAAAACAGTCATTAAATGAGAACATGTCACAACAACAAAAACTTGGAGGTTACTTAATCTTCTCCTCCAGCTGCATACTTACAGCTTAGCAGAAATCCCAGGCTGTAAACTCTCGTCTCTGATGTTGGCAGATAAATTTCACATTGATAGAAGCCAGCATCAGAGGAGAGCAGAGAGTCAAAGTGAAGAGTAAGATTTTCCTGAAGGAACCACATGTTTTCACGGAGAGTCACTCTCTGTCCATCTTTATACCAGGAAATGTCTGAGAGATTCTGATGGTGTCTAGATTCAGAATCATGGCAAACTAAGCTGAGAGGCTGGTTGAGCACTGGGACGGCGTTTGGAGGACTGGTTCGCACAGAGATGGGATCTGTAGCACACGATGCAAAGAAAAAAAAGAAGAAATTCTTGAATTAATTTACCCCTTGGTTATGTTGAGATGAAAGCTATTTTACATCATCCAAATAAAGTGTATACTCAGGAACCTGTTAACTCAAAATAGACATTTCTCTCCAAACATGTAGGATTTTCCAATAGTTTCCTAGCTATTAATGTTAATGAAAGACTTTCATCTCCTTTCTTGACTGTGACATCATTGTTTTCTTTACATACATAAACATACATAGCATACCCTTTACAATAACCTGCTATTAAAAATACATCTATATTTTAGGATATCAATCTGTACTCATATCTAACGTGTCACTGAATCTCTGAATCTCCAACAGGACACAGCTAATGGCATTCTGTGTCTCCATCATAGCAAAAAGATGGCCGAACAATGCATGGGACTTAAATTACACAGCTAAAGATGTTATATGAATGTTTAAATAAAGAATCTACACTTAATTTCAGACTAAACATGTGTAGTCACTATCTGACTCTATACTTACTCCAAATCTCTACTATGGTGGTTGTACTGCTGTATATTCCTGTTTTTGGATTTAGCACGATGCACTGCAGTTCCACTGAAACATCCTGCCCATCTGGTGTCCAGGTTAATGAGCTCCCATTGACCGGTCTGCCGTTAAGGTTCCAGCTGTAGACACAGTTTGGGAAACAAGAAGAAGAACAAGTGAAGGTAGTGCGGGAACCAGCGGTCACTCTGCCAGTCCAGGAGATCTGCACAGATGCACCCAATCCTGATTCTCCTGTAGAAAACGAAGAAATTATTTTTATTAATTTAGGTATAAAGTCAATATTTGGTGATTTTACAACATTTAATACAAATATTAAGTGTATCTATTATTTAATCACAAATAAAATACATATTTATATTAAAAATCGTTGCAGAGATAGTTTTGATTCCTATCAACCTTTTAAAAGTCAATCTGAGGCATCTGACTGTTATTATATGGGTATTTAAGAAAATGATTATGTTTAGAAGCTATTATGATGCAGTTTTCTTACCCATAAGTCCCAGCAGCAAAGCACAGTAGAGAGTTTTCATGGTGATGGTCATAGTAAAGCTCTTCATCTTGTTCTGAACCTAATAACTGGCCTCTAAAACCTTTTTCTTCATATATCAGTTTACATATTTCACAACTAAGGAAAATTCTTAGTGATGAAATGACCACAATCCACAGAGTGGAAGTTTCCTAAGCATGCCTGCATCCTGAATTCTCGCGGTATTTGTGAGTAAAACTGAAAAAGATAATCATTAATAGAACTGTGTTAACCATTATCAGTTTGGCTTAACAGGATAGAAGTTTCAACAACAAAGGGTGATAATGTGTGAGCTGGTTGTGTCAAAATTGCGCAACTGTGTTGATTTTTTCAGGCCAATAACTTCTTACGCCACTAGATGGTAATATAAGACATGAAATACTGGATAACTTCTCCCTTAGTCCTAATAAAGTATCAGGCAAATTTTATTTTGTTTTAAAGGAAATATAGAATAAACATATTGTGTTCAAATTGTGAGATCCGGCTGAATGCCATTATAAGCAATATTTGCATATATATATGTTCATAAAATACAAAATAAAAACTACATTTTACTGTGTACATAGACTACGTCAAAGGAAGAACAATGTGGCTGTTGTTAGGCTCAGTTTTGTTCCTTAAAATAAAACATAGTTTGATCAAACTTCCAGAAAACCTTAACACCTTAAATGTTTGTGTGCTTTCTGTTAGAGCTTTTACAAACATCTGAACTTTGCTATTATTGAGAACTTACAACAGTGTGGCTTCATTAATATGAGTATTTATTGGTGTGGGAATCTGTCCTGCATTTGCCTGTACAGTCTTGCCAAATAGATGAAAACTGCTATTTGTATTGATAAATCAACTTCATTAACAAACATACCTCTTCGAAAGTCCTGTCATCTTTAACTACCATGGATAATTCATTAACAATGGACTTATAAACAAATTCTATCCTTTGAGAAACGAAACCCCAGACAGAGTAAAAGTAAACAGCTGACATAAAAAGAAAAGAATTCAGGGCAGGAAATAAAAAACAAAAACAAAAAACTGACTCAATCAAAAGGATCTTCACTAATGGTTATTTTTATAGTGAAAGAAAAGTATTCAAACAACATATAAAGACTTTAAATGAGCATGCTTATCTGTTGTTGCAAAGCATTTACAAAACTTAACATCCGCCTAAAATTAGGTTTGGTAATTAAGGGTGAAGTTCCAATAAGGAACAGCTGATGCTTTAAACCATTGACACTACATGAACTTCCTTATTTGTAGGTGAAGTTCAAAGGTTGCTCGTCCTGCTTTACGGGAAATCTAGAGGCGTTTTACAATCTTTATCTTGTTCTCTTTATTGCATCCCTCTCTGAGTTTGATGTTTCTTAACTGACATGCTCAGGAAGAAAAGAAAGTTTTAAGGTGTCATGGTGACTCAAACGGAATTTCCTGTAACGTACTTCATCCTTATTACCAAATAATGTGGTTATAAACGCCCAAGTGATGATTAAAGACCAATCTCTTTTACAACAAATTCTCTTCCAGTTGCACTTTGAACATTTTTTGACGCATGGATGTTTTTATACTTTGTTAGAATAACATTATACCTTCATCATAATCACCTTCTGCGGGTTTGACATATTTACAGTGCTTTGTGCGCAGCAGATGGCCATAAAATCAAAATTACATTTCTTCTAGCATTAAATCTTATTGATGAAATGCATTCAATTTCCATTTATTCTGATATTTAAGGAAAGCTGTTTTTATATTGATATGATTCCCATTGCTAACAGTTCTAATATTAATACGATTTGTGTAAATACTTTAAAAAATATTAATCTAAATGTGTGCGTAAATGCAAGACTGTCATGATTTTCATACTGCAGTGCACTGATGGTGCATATATGTCACATTGCACTCAGGAGCTTTCATGATTCAAATATATTGGTTTGTTGATAACCTAAAAGCTGAATGATGAAGAGAACATTACAGCTCAATTTACATTTACTGCGATGATTCGATAACAAGGAGGAACTGTTTTGCTTTTATACCTTACAGGAAAACCTGGTTAAATATTAAATACCCAAGAGATTGTCGGCCAAAGTTCAGATGAGTTAATAATAGACAGTTCTTGGATGTTAAAGCCTGTGTCAGGTCCATCAGATACATTTGGTTACATTTGGTGTTTGCTTGTTCCTGTTTAAGAACCATTGTCTGTTTCTATCATTGGCTTTGTTCCTTTTTGTTCTCATAAGCATATGAACAAAGACTAAAGATAAACCAGTGTTTTGTTCAAAAAGACACATTTGAACCTCACAACCTCCCACTTCACTCTAAATGGGATTTTCCTGGTTCAAAGTCTAATGTTTGGAGCCGTAAGAAAATCCTGTGAAACTGATAGAGGAGAGACACACATAATCATCTCCCGAAAAAGTAATAAGGAAAGATTTTCTAAATCAGCCAGTTTCTCAGTTAGTGTTACTGTCAATACGATCATTTCAGATAAGCTGTATTTTATAATTACGTTTAATAGCTTTACTGTAATTTCATCCGGACCGAAGTTCACTTTGCGATGGTATTGTGTGACGGTTCAACAGTATTCTGCCTTATTGTCCCATAATTAAATAAAATTATATGTCTCGCTAACGTGAAAGGTCTAAGGCAGGAAATAGCAATACCAAAAACGACTCTGGACATTCTGACAGATTCAGCATGACTTGAAAAACCTAAATACAAAAAGCAAGCCATCATCAGATTTGTACACTGTACAGGGTATTACAAAATAAAATACCGGTACGTGACATCCTCTCAGTACGGTAGTTCCCAACCCTGCTCCTCAGCAAACACTGTCCTGCATGTTTTAGATATATTTTTGCTCTGCCACACCTGCATCAAATGATTGCCACCTCAGAAGCCATAAAGGACTGAAGAAGCCAGTTAGTCACCCAATTTTTTAAGTCAGGTGTGTGGAAGCAGGGGAACAGCTATGCAGGGCAGGGGGCTCTGAGGAGCAGGGTTGGGAACCACTGCTCTAATAATTTGAGTATAATCATAGGTTTCCAGTTCTTAGCATGTTTCTGTTTCTAGAATCTAAGTGTTTCCATGTCAGTTACATATTTCAATGAAAAACAGAGTTCAGTTAACAGGAAAATATTTATTTTATTAAGATCTGAACATTTTAGGTTTCGTCTGTAAATCATATAAGCATTTTAATTAACTTTTTATTTACAATATACAATATCAAAATCAAAACCAAAAAAAGATGCACATTGCAAAACTATCTTGAAACAAAACTTCCAAATATATTTCAACTTTATTTCAACATAAATCATGCATGTATCAAAACACAGAAAATGTTGGATTTTTAAACAAATAATTGAAATAACATCTGTTAAGTGACTTATTTTTTGTACATGTACTTTTAACATTTGTGGCAAGAACAGAGGAAGAAACTTTAAAATCTTATCAGAGTAACATTAGTTAAACCAATTAGTGCACAGCTTCCTCATTTCTGTTAAACATTAGATATTTGTTGGTTAGACACACAAAATATAACCAGAACATCTAGGACAAATAATTTTAAACCTTAAATTAATAAAACCTTAAAAGTTTTCCTTAAATAGAAAACTTTGAATCAGTTTGACTGTATGATCTGGTGAACTGTAAAGTGCCTTGAGATGATATGTGTTGTGAATTTGCACTATATAAATAAACTGAATTGAGTTGAATTGAATTAAATCCCTAATATTTTTTTCTCTTAAGGCCCCTTGGTCACAATAACACAGCGGAATTAATAAAACATTAGTTTGACATATTAACATTGATTAGAAACTTCATAGAATCTACCAGACTTACTATGATCTGTAAACTTGAATTTCAACTTGAAAATCCTAACCGAGTTAAATATTGCACAGAACAATCAAAAGCATTATAGTCAATAAAATAAATAAAGAAGTTAAAAGCTCTCTCTGCATTATTGTGCCAGCCTTCTGTTGGTTTTTACCCTGATCCAAGCACATTCCGCTGAGTAAAGTTCAACCTCCATCCTTCTTCCTTTGTCTGTGGGAATCTTGCTCTTTAGCTTCTCCACTGCTAAAAAAAAAACAAGAAAAAGGAACATTTTTAGAAGTCACAGGATTTCTATAAAAAAAAAAAAAAAAAATCATTATTAGAGATGATTTGTTTATTGACATTAACATCAGTATTGACTGATTTTGGTCATTTTTAACAACTGAATATCGTTATTTTAACCAATTTTTACTAAAGCAATTTCTTTCTTTTTCTTTTTTGAACTAAGGCAATTTCAATGGCATATTAATACTGATATCAAATTAAATTTGTGTTGTTAAGAAAATATTAATTGATTGACCATCAGACAAAACTAGACAAACAGTATTGCAACATGTAACCATTAAATACTCTATCAGTTTGCACTGCTGAAGCAGTTGTCAATTATCATTGGTTTCCCACCTTTGACTAGGAAGATTTTGAGGAATATGACTTCATTTACTTTCATAGTAGGTCACATGGAGAATTAGCTCTTCCACATATGAAAGTGTGAATGATTTAGATGTTAATAATTTGTCTGAGTGATGTAATATGAATTCCTTATGAATCAATCAGATTTACAACACTTGCTAATCCTTTACCTAGACATGAGAAGGCGCTCCTCCAGCTGTGTTGTTGTGGTTCACTCTGACTTGAGCGTAGTCAGATGCAATATTATCCAAACCCACTGGGGTTGGGTTTGCTTCTTTCTTCTTTGCAAACTTGATTCTTGCATAGTTTAGCTGCAGTAAAGAAAAAATAAATTTTTATTCAAATAAACTCTATAATACAAACTGCAAATGATGATGCACAGATTTTAAATGGAAGTAGATATATATTAAAAAAATATGTTTTTCATACAACCTTTTTTGTTTAGTTTCAAGTGTGAGGTGAAACAATCATTACATCATCTAAAATTTATCTTTAACCATTTAAATCGAAATTTGCAAGACGCAATAAATCTAGCATGTCTGACTAGAAGTTAAATCTTAGTACAAAGAAGATGCAAAAGATTTAGAGAAAGTTTTACTTTCTTTTTTTAAGTCTAAACTGCAGAAAATACATTTTAGGCTGTAGTAAGGCAGAATAAAATGCATTAAGGTCCATTAATGTCAAAGTGTTTCTCTGGAATAAAATATCATAAACTAAGTGCTTAAATGTTCTTACCTCACTTGAATCATCAGTTGTTTTGCTTCTCTTTCTGTTTGGAGAAATGAATATCATTACATACTGAACAAGCTTTGTCTGACTTGTTGCCAGAGGGGTGCAAAAATAAAGATGTGTTTACTCAGCACAGTCTAGTTAATATTTTATCTGTTCTGCATGAGCATGTTCATACCTCAAATGTTTGTTTTATTTAACACATGATCACCATATATTAATTTAAAGTTGTTAAAATGGTATACCACCAGCAGGAAAACAGTTTAAAATAAAGCTTTACACACAAAAATATATATATTTTTCTGTATTTCTTTACTGTCTTAAGTCCTATTAGTTAGTTGCATTTGGTCAATAATAATTACCAAGAGACATAATATTGAAAAGACCTTGAAATTTATCTTTTTTTTATTATCTTTTTTTTATCATTCGGACGTTATATTTATGTCCTTGACCTTTGGTTCCTTTGCTTTATAAACTGGACACTTAATGTCAAACGTTTTTGGCATATCCCTCCATATGTTATATAGTCATTCTTTTCCTGTCCACATTCAGTGATGCTACAGCTAAATATTCATGGCACATGTTTAAATCAGACAAAGTAGTGCTTTCATATGATTATTAATATGTTTTATTTTTTCACTTCTGGTGGTCTAAGAGAGGAGAAAGTGGATTGGTTGTAATGTTCTTGCATTTTATTGAGTAGTCAGACACTCATGGATTATGCATATTTAAAACCTTCCATTCTGGGGCAGTAAATCTGACTCCTGTGTGATATTATGATGGTTGGATACATTTATGCTGTTTTCACCTTGATAAAGTTGTTTAAACAGATCATCTTGACACCTTGTGGTATCTGGAAATTATAACCGTGAATTAGCTTTGCCTGTGGAAGTCAATGTTCCTTTTAATTATTTTCCTACGGTGTTAAAAAAGGAAGATGTGTGACTGAGCTGTCGCCTTAAAATATATCTATACGAGTGTCTCTTACTTAAATTAACTAAGCCAATGATGTATCTTGGCTTTCCCAAATTGTTTAAAAGTAATGCAATCTTGGTGGTAAAAATACATTCCTCATTATTAAAACAAAACAAACAAAAATACAGTTACTCAATTTCCTTCCCTGCTTATGTAAGCATCTGGCTTCTAATGTGAAAACCCAGTTAAATAGTCTCACAAATTCATGGAGTTACCTAAAAAGACGAGACCACATTCACCCCTCAAGATTAGAAATCCAAAGATATGTCAACCCTTGCCAAATTCTTGTTGAGAGTAGCCCTCATGCAGCATGGATACAGGCTAAAGGTTCAATCATTTAATAATAATAATAATAATAATAATAATAGTAATAATCATTTAAATCGTTTTAATACTGCTCAAATTTAGCTAATTATTGGGTAAAAACTTACACAGTGCTGCTTTACATTTTTTAATCACAATATTTTATCTTAACAAAAAAAATCAGCTATATTTAAGACATGATTTTTAGATGATTTTGCAAAGCTTTTTTTTCCCACTTACTTTAAAACCAAATAGTATACAACGCCAACAACAACTGCGACAACGACTAGGCACGCAATAACTATTCCAGCAATTGCTCCTGCAGATAATCCTGGTTTCTTTTCTGAAAAAATAACAAACAACATATTTTGCTTCTTTAACTTCTGATGGAATCACTGCTTGAAAAATTGTGACAAATGTTTATGAGGAGATGCAGCGGATGCAGTCAAATAAATGCCTGAAATGTTTTTTCTCTGTTTAAAGGTAATAAATTTTAAGTGCACAAAAATAACAGTCTGACATATACACAATTACAAATATAACACAATGTGTATTTAACTTAACATAAAAGAAATAGTTCAGAAGTAGTTTCTCTTTCATGGTTATTGTTGTCACCATCTTCCTAACAGTAAACATAGGTAATAATGACTTTGCTTTGTAAAATTAGAGAGAAAATTTCATAGATAATCCTGAATTCTAGCGAATTGCTAGATGCAAGAAATCCACTTGGAAAAGACGCTGACCTCAAAAACCCCTTAGTGATTCCAGCTAACACTATTAACCCTTGAGATTGAATTGAAGGGCTTTTGCATCAGATAGTTTCTCTAATTGTCCATACTAACAAGCACCAGCTAAAATACGAATGTTTCCAGGAATCATTCAAAGCACAGCAAAGCAACACTTGTTCAAACATGCTTATAATTAATGGTAAAGAGTAAGACAAGATATGCAAAAAAAACTGTGCCAATAAATATGGATAGAGTTTAAGTGTGTGATGCATTTATTCAGAGGTGTTCTTGTTTTATCTACAATGTGGGGGATTTATTTTGTAAAATATCCTACATACAGGGACTTACAGGTCCCCATATGGTAAAGTTCGGTTCTTAAAGTTGGGGTTAGGTTTAGGACTATGGTCGGATTCAGTTTAGGTTAGGGTTAGGTATATGTTGGTAATAGTTACATAGGATTAGTGTAAGGGTCTGGGTTAGGCCATAGAAAATGAATGCAAGTCAATGACATGTTCCCACATGTACTGAAAACAAAGCTGGGTGGTTGTGCATACTGTAGTCTTTGAGCTGCCATAAAAAAAATGTTTACCATAACGAGATATTTAGTACAAATAGCCATAGATTTCTCTGTATAAAAACATCTGATCAAAAAATTCATTTGGTTTTTTATGTTTGGGTTGTATAGTTTAGCAGAAATAGAATAACAGTTAGAACGAGCTTCTGTATAAACCTTTAGCTTATATCTTTGATTAAAAATTATTACCTCATAACGCTAAGAAACACATTTAAGCCAAAATACTTTCAAAACATTTTTTTAGAAAAGTGTAAAATAAGTAATGCTATCAAATCTTAATTTGTCGACATTTTTAAACTTACCAGATATAAGCACAGTTACTGGTCGAGATGATAAGTATCTCAAAGTTTTGTTATTAAAAGCCTGACAGCTGTAGTTTCCAGTTTGATTCAACTTAACATCATAAAGCGTCATTTCTGATCCAGAAACAGGAAGTTGTTTTCCATTTAGAAACCATGAACATAAAGCTTTAGGTTTGGAGTCTGCTGAGCAGGACAAGGTGATGTTTGAGCCTTCATCATAACGGTCATTTTCTGGTGATTTTTTTAAGTTGATATTTTCGGGGCCATCTGTAAGGTGTTGTATATGTGGAGAGAATTCACTGTTAAGTAGCTAACAACACATTCAGCTTTTTATGTCTGATTAGAGTATCAGCATTAATATAAAAATCATTTTTTTGGAAAATGCTTGAATATTGTGAAAAAAGTAATATTACTGTGATGAAAGATAGAGACTCACAGTTTATGGTGAGGTTTACTGGATCACTGCTGTCAGTATTGAAATCATTACTGGCTAAACAGGTATATGATCCCTCATCATGTCTGGTCACATTGACTATAGTCAGATTGGATCCTCCATTAGTGATCTGAATTCTGTCACTTGCTGAAACCTCAGTGCCATCTTTGTTCCAGGTGAAACGGGGGGAGAATCCAGATGCAGAACAAGACAGGCTGACAGAACTGTTGAACTCTACCAAATCATTGGGGGGTGATGCGACGAAAACGTTAGAAATACGTTCTGTAGGGCAACAACAGACATGTGTTAACATATTGTAGCTAAAAAAAATGAACCTTGTTTATTGATATAACACTAAAGAACATTGGGAGTATTTTTTTTTCTTTTAATGATATAATTTTTTTATATTGGCTTCTGGATGGATGCATGCCATTCAATGCCAATCACATGCCGGTGACAAATTTAACAGGAAAGCCTTGAGGTGTAAAAGCCTTCATAGAAGTGTACTTCTATGAAGATGTGTTTTAATGGTGGTGAAAATTCTCAGTCATCCAGGTCATAGTAATTCCAAAAAAGTTAAAAAACAATCCAGTGGATTTGTTTCCAAGTTTGAAGACGTTTCGCTTCTCATCTAGGAAGCTTTTTCAATTCAGTTTTTAATGGGTGATTAAACTTAAGTTTTAAATTGACCTGAAATCTAACCTAAAATTGAATATGTATATTTATTGTTGTAAGCCTTAAAAAATATAGAATGACAGCCTAATTATATTAAAATGATAATCTAAATATATGGAATTAACTTTGAGTATAACAAATGAAAGAATGAATGTATTGAATTACATTTAAATATGCATAAAATATAACTTTAATGTATAAATGCATTGAATTTAATTCAGTTTATTTATTTAGCGCCAATTCACAGCATATATTGTCTCAAGCTACTAAACAGTGATAATTAAGAAAGTTTTCTATCTTAGTTTTCTATCTTGTAGCCGAAAAAAACTGGACCCTATCATTAATGCAAAAACTATAGGGAATATTTTATTCTTGTTTGATTTAGCTGATTGCATCGAGTCATTGTCTTTACTGGATTCATTCCTCCTGGATGAACATGTGGCAACAGTAGATATTCATTGTAGGATGCAGGGCGGGCCATTGGTCTTGTTGGTGGGGTGAGCGCCATGGTAACTGTCAAAACTAAACCTTTTAATAGTGCTGACTCAGGGGCAGAGTAAGCCATTTTTGGACCCAGGTGAACATTTTCTAGAGTGCCCTCCTCAAAGTCAGACTTATTGTCCCAGTAGGCCCTGAGAGTGTTTTAAGATTCTCTAGGGCTGCCATAATTTCCATACTGCAATACTGTGAACCAGAAAACAGCCCAAGATTCTAATATGGATCCTCCTCTGGCTTCCACAGCTAAAGAATCAGAGACATGAGCTAACAGTGTTCAATAGGCATGGGTAGAGAGACCTGGTATCAAAACATCCCAGTATCAAAACCTCCCAGACCATTAAGCTTCAGCCTAACCGGTCCTTTTGACTATAAGAAGCACACATGCTGAGGGGACTGATTGGAGGGGAGAACGTTCTGCTCTCACTGTTGCTTTGTTTGCGCTCTTCCTACATTGTTGCCATCTATTCAGCAACTTTTCAGACCTTCCTAGTGACTTTTCTTTTTTCAAAATAGTGTCAAATGTAGTGACCTTTTCTATGTTGTTTAAGACAAAAAGCATCTGAGTCTTTCCTGGTTTGAAAGCACTGACAGTCTAAACAGTAGAGGAGGGTGATTCCAGTCTATTTCCTCATTAAAAATAAAATATACCTATAAATCCATACCTACTGCATAAAACAAAGGAAGTGATTGGAAGAAAAAAAAACTTCCCAAAACACTTGGTTTGCAGGGTGTCATAAAAACAAACTGAAAATCCAAATCAAAATATTATAATGGATAAAAAATGCGATGCAGTCGGAGGATTGTTTTAAACAGTGGCTGTTAAAAGGCATCTAAATATATTGTCTTATATCTAATAAAGGGACACTAGACTCTTTTCAAAAACTCAAAGACATCTGTGACTTTGAAAATAAGGACTTCTTCAAATACCTCCAACTTAAGCTTAACTGTGACACAAGAATAAGGGAAGGTAGTTCCGAATTAGTTAACACTGTGATTCATGCACACAAAGAAATTAATTGCATGAGTTTGCTGCCGCACTCTTCCAATGGTATTTCAACTCTTTATGCGTAAATTCAGGTGGGAGAAATTACCTAAAATAATCAGTTCAAAAGATGTTAAAGACATATGAGCACTTCCGGTTGTGGTTATTAGAGAATTTTCTTGGAAAAATATCATTTTTTTTACTACTCCAAAAATTAAACATCAGAAATATTACTCAATTTATGGAAGGTGGTGGAAAACATGTGGAAATACTCTGAATGATCATTTCCATTTCTTCCGGAACTGTCCAAGTATACAACCCATAGACATGGTGCAAAAAAATAAAATCAGTATAGGTATTAAGATTGAATATGTTTTTTGTACAATTTATCTAGCTAACACCAACCCAGCACCAAAAGCAGAATTTTACACAGAAGTATATGATCTAATGATTAGTAGAAGTTAACAACACTAAGTTTCCTAAGATTAAATATCCACCTGTGCAAATTCTAATGTTAAAAGTTGCCATCACATTAGGATTTGTTCCCCTGCAGGATAAACAAGAGATAGTTTGTTCGGTCAAATTCTTGTTGGTAACTTACTCTACAGGTGATTAAAATGTCAGCACTGTGGAGAGTGAAGCCTTTATGTCACTGGAGATTTTTTAAATCAGCTAAGGGCATTCTGGGCTACATAAAGTCCTTCCTTAAGCAATTTCTGTAAAAGAAATGCATTACATTTTGGAGCTCTATAGAATAAAACGTCCTCTTGCACTTTTCTTGGACCCTTTTTTCTATAATAAGTATCAGTATTAATTTTTAGTAATGAAAAAACTATATTAAAATATATTTATACAGTATGTTGCTGTCCTGTTTGAGGCACTCAGTGTAACTCTTAATGTTGTGAATGAGGCATGCTGACGCACAAGGAACAAACAGCTGCACAGGCCATTAAATAACAGACAAACCGCTAGCCCATCCTTGTATATGCATGAGGCTGAGCACTCCTCGTGCTATATGTGCGCAACTATGTTTTCTGTCTTCTTCTTTTCTAACCTGGGTATGGTAGAATGGGTAGTAATTACGTTGAAAAAAATGAAAACTTACCTGTTGGGTTTAAAATTCAAATGATTAAATCTATTGCCATTCAGAGTTATACAGAAAACATCTGGGGCTTAAAGAAGTACCTGGTATTTTACTCTATAACCCTGCTGAATTTGACTTTAAACTTATGTTTTTATCAATTTTAGAAGAAAAAAACAAATCCACAAATCAAGTGGATGTAGCGATGGCAAAATCAACAGTTTGCCATGGTTCTTTTGCCATGCTTTACATCAATACAAGAGGAGGATCAAAATAAAACTTTGTGGAGGCATGCTCTTGCAGCATCTCAGGTTTTTCTGGAGCTCCCACCTGAAAAAACAAGCCAGTTTCACAAAGTGGCTTTCACAATCAAGCCACTGTTAAGCCAAAAACCAACACACACATTTTTACATAAAAAAAGTCAGATTTCCAGGTATTACTTCCTCTGTCTGCAAAGAACCTCATTTATGGCACTTCCTCACTCACACTGAAAACAGCATTAGCAAAGCAGTGTTTCCCCCTCCAGTAGTGCAGGACGGTTTGCCAGAATCGCTTTAAGGCCAACCGACAGTCTTTTTCCATTGTCTCTCCAAACTCCTAACAGGCATCAGTTTCTGCCCTGCTACGGCCCGGGCAGTATCATGCTTGCCTGCAAAATACTTGATTGCTGCCTCAAGAGACCCATAGGTCAACTAAGGTTGATCGGACCCCTTCTTCCACTTCATGGTATCCCTAACTGCCTGTGTCCACCACTGGGTTTAGGGATTACCGCCACTACAGGCACTTAGGATCTTACAGGCTGTGTCTATTGTTTCCACTGCATCATGCGTATGCTGCACAAGTCTGTTGTAAAGAGAATCCCCAATAAAAGTGGCTGAAATTAGCTTTCTCTGCACGGTGGCTGCGCACTCCTCATAGCATGAGGAGCTCGGTCATACAGGAGATGCTCCGAGGAGGGCAAATTCTCAGACATATTTTTTTGGATGTCCCCTGGACGTCTTGCTTGGGAGATGTTCAAGGCACATCTCACCAAAAATAAACTCAGAGTATGAGCCAGGACACGCTAGATAGAGGGACTACCTCTCTCAGCGGGCGTAGGAGCACCTTGGACTTCCCCCAACAGAACTGGATGAGGTACCTGGGAAGAGGGTTGTATGCTGAGAGCTGCCCCTGCAACCCAGTACTGGATTGAGCAAAAGATAACAACATGTATAGTTTCTTTTTTTTCTTGCTTTTCAGCTCCATTTCATATTTTTCTCTTCTGATCTCCCCAGCTACTGTGTTTGCTTAGGTGGCATATTGCATTTATGTTATGTAATGAGATAGATTCATCCATTCATGTGGAAAGGGGAAAGAGTCCAAGAGGTATTGTGTCACTTTATTTTTCTTTATTTTAAAACTAAATCATGATTTTAGATTTTAAATATACATAAATATTTTCAAAGGCACTATAGGAGGGGTGGTCAAGTAGCAGAGCAGGTGTACCATTCTGAACTAAAAATTGAGGGACAATTATTGGAGATGAGGTAGAGTTAGAGATGAATATGAGACTAGAAATCTACATGACTCTGGTTGTTTGTATATCAGACCCACTCCTACTGTACATGCCCCTGAAACAAAGCTCTCCAATTCCAACTTGAACGTAAATGAATCAATGAAAAAAAAAAAGACCTTCTTGCCAACATGCAAAACAATCTGATATAGAGAACACATTCTGCACTAATCCAACAGTAAAACATGGTGCAATGGAATAACACTGAAAATACTTTTTGTCAAAATTAACTTTAAAATTGGTTTCAGTTAATATTAAGATGGAAAAGACTTACCGGTAATAAGGAGAAATACAGAGAAAAAAAATATTCTAACAAAAGACTTTGAACTCTAGTGGAGGAATAACCTAAACCTTACAGAGGCAGAGGAAACACTGAAAAATTTAGATCAAAATATACATTTAAAACTTAGAATGACCAAGTCAAAGCTCAGAGTCCATAGATAGACTTGAAGACTGATTTTCACACATGCTTGATCTCTAAGTTGATTGGGTTTAAAACATTTATCCTAAAACAATGGTGAATAATCAACAAATGTATAAATCTTTCTCCATTGTAGTACACTTTTCAGATTTGTATCTGTAAACATTTTTAAAAACTCTGTAATGTTTTCTCCTTCACAGTTATGTGCTGCTTTTTGTTGATTTGTGACATAACATAAAAAAAAAAAAAATAAATGGTACAAATTGTGACTGTACTGTGACTTACCCACTATAGAGATGGATGCAAGTGGAGATGTTTGCTTTATTGAGGTTTTACTGTTAAAGGCCTGACAGCTGTAGTTTCCACTCTGATTCCTCTGAACACTGATTAGCTTGAGCTCATGTTCAGAATTCGCCAGATTTTTTTCATTTAGGAACCAACTAAACACGGCAGCAGGTCTGGAGTCAGCCGAACAAGTCAAGGTGATGTCTGAACCTTCCTCATAATGTTTTTGAGATTCAGGGTTAACCTTTAATGTGACTTTTTCTGGGCCATCTGTAATTGTATAATTGAGCAGTCGTTTTAACCCTGATAGCTTTGCTTAAGTTGCATTATCTTTCTTTTTTAAAAGACATCATATGTTCATAACTTACAGCTGACAGAGAGGAATACTGGATCACTGTTGGCATTGCTGACAGGATTGGACACTTCACAGCTGTATGATCCATCATCATTTCTGGTCACATTGACAATAGTCAGAGTGGATCCTCCATCAGTAATCTGAACTCTGTCACTGGCTGTAATCTCAGAGGAGTCTTTCATCCAGCGGAAGGAGAGAGATGATCCAGACGAGGTGCAGCGGAAGATGGCGGATTTGCTAAACTCAATCAAATCTGAGGAATCTTCAGTAACTTTTACGTTAAAGACGGGATCTGGGGGTAGAAAAAATAATGAAATGAATCAGAAAAACAAAGAAATTTAGGTTTTATTTGGGGACTGATGTGCTTAATAGTTTATAGACAGTTACCAGGAAAAAAAGAACAGGTTTATAAAATAGAAAACACAAACTTTCCAAAATTAACAAAACCTTGAAGTTTAGATGATGTTCTAATTCCTATGTTCTAACACTTTACATGTTTAAATAATATACTCTTTGGGTAAAATGTATCTGATTTCAAAGTACCATTTTATTTATTTTTCTATACTAATTGACAGCACTGACTGATAGGCATAGTTAAGCCCCAAATAAGTAATAACCCTGGTATATATACATGAACCGGCAAGAAAAGGGGTAAAGGCGCACAGAGTATAAATGCTGCAGACGCTGTGACAGACGGCTCATTTTCCATACGGAATGTCCGTGCGTCAAGTGGGTAAAAAGTGGGTAAAAAGTAGTTTTAATATATTCTTCATCGAGAAAGTCCACCTCAAAGAATTGTCTGTGCAGTCAGTTCATCAAGATTATGATCCAGCCTTAAAATAATATTTCTCTGTCCAAGCCGCTGAGATCGCCACAAACTGGTGTTAAGCTGTTACTGGGAATCCAGCAACAGCTGCCTAAGGCCTGGTCGCCTCTTCGGGGTGTTTGTTACTGTTCATGGCGGCTGGAAGGGTTTTTCAGGTATGTGGTACAAACTTCAGGCACCAGAATAATAAAAGCAAACATATTTCACGAACAGGATTCAACATTTGTTAATTAATAAAATGGTTCAGGGGAGTGATCATAGACCTCTGCATCAGCAGTGTTTTGTCTGTTTCCCTGCCCTTTTTCTGAATGATAGATGATCTTTGTCCATTGATATTACATTAACAAAAATATTTCATGCCTACCATGTACATAGACAGCTGAAGGCAGAGATCTTTGGTATCTCATGGTTTTGCTGTTAAAGGCCTGACAGCTGTAGTTTCCACTTTGACTCATCTGAATGTTCATCAGTCTGAGTTCTGGTCCAGTTGTAGTCAGAGCGCCTCCATTCAGAAACCACTGATATTCAGCAGAAGGTCTTGAATCAGCAGAGCAGGTCAGAATGATGTCTGAGCCAGTCTTATGATGTTCTCCTGATGGATTCACCTCTGATCTTACACTGTCTGGTCCATCTGATTGTAGAAAAGAAAAACAGAAATTGTAAAGAAAATGTCATCCACTGGAAAAATAATGATGAGACATTATACAGATACTGTTTGTCAATATCTCCCCCCCCCCCCCATTTTTTATTGTCATTACACTGTCACAAGTACAGAGCAACGAAATAAACTCTCTGAATTTAATCCATCCTCTTGGGGAGCAGTGGGCTGCCTTTATGCAGGCGCCCGGGGAGCAGTATGGGCTTAAGGGTCTTTGCTCAGGGACCAGAGTGGCAGTCTGTGGGATTGAGGCTCGAACTCAGAACTTCAGGATTCCAAGCTCTATGCCCTAACCACTAGACCACCACTCCTTCCAAGGATATAAAAAATAAGACATTGTACATATGCTACATGTTCAGTTTCACATTTCTCAAAATAGCTGCTATAGACTGCTAATTAATGTATGAAGTAAGCCAGCAGATAAACATATTTTGTTTATTTACTTAAATTTCCTAGTTCTATTCATGTAAATGAGTTTATTCAATGATGTTTACACTAAAAAAATTAAACAAAATAAAAGTATTGTAGACTTCTGCTAATAATGGAAATCATGAAAGCAATTTTAACATAAGTTTTGTGATCAGGATTTTATTTCTGATAGTTACAAGAAAATTTTAGCAGATAGTAAACATGTAGGTTAAAAACTTACAGCTGATGCTGATTGGTATTAGATCACTTCTGATTGAAGAGACAGGATTAGACACATTGCATCTGTATGATCCCTGGTCATAGCGGGTCACATTAACTATAGTCAGAGTTGATCCTCCTTCATCAGTGATGTTAACTCTGTCACTGGGAATAACCTCAGAGCTGCTGTTCAACCAGCGGAAGGAGAGAGAAGATCCAGAGGAGGAGGAGCAGGATAGACGGACTGAGCTGTTGAATTCAACCAAGTCTGCACTTGGTGGAGAGACGGTTACATCAGAGACTGGTTCTGTTGGTAGAAACAAAAATTCAGTGGATATGTTTGCATGGTATTAAGTAATATTAAATTTTATCAGTGTTATTTTAATTGTCTTAATGCTAAAAAAAAAATAAAAATCAGATAATTTTAACAAACTTCGTGATCTTCACTTAAGTGGAAAGTGGATTTCTGAAAAATCTATCAAATAAAAAAAATTATATTTGAATTAATTTGAATTTTTTTTAAAAATCTAACCTAAATTTGTAATTGCTACAGTTAATTCTTAAAACCAATTTAAATAGATTAATATTCAGACCACTCTTTTCTATTTTGTAGCCCTATTGATTTGAATTTAGGAATAAAAGTAGAAGGTGAAATGATGGAAAAAGTGGAAACGTGGGACTGGGGTTTGAGGAATGTAGGCTTAAAAATTGTGGGAGCAGCTGACAAACATAGCTCAGGTTTGAAAGCAATCAGTAGACTGAAAGCTAGAGCCATTTCTTAAGTTGCATAACCACCGAATTTAACGGATGTGCTCCTCTGCTTTGCCCAATTTATCAAGGAGAAATCAGTGAATCCCCCTTAAGCCTTGGGCCACCAAGTTGTCACACATTGCAATTAGTTACTTGTTACAAAATGAATTTTAAGAGGTTTTAAAGACAAGAAAGTGTGTTTGTGTATCAAAAATGAGACTACTTTTAAGGTGCACCAAAGTTTTCATAATAGCTCTGCTTACAGGCCATTATGGCAACAAGCTTTTCAGTCAGTTACAGTGTGTTTTCTCCACTAATCGCAGGCTGATCTTGATCCTTCATTTTATCATTTTCTGTTAGCTGTTAACTGCTCGTTTAAGAATGAGATTGATTGTTTTAGTATATGTAATGGATAATTATTAGAATATAATTTTTTTTCCTATGTAAATGTTTTGATATTTCAAGATAAATAAGTTATTCTATAAACTCTCAACATTTTTTTTTCTTAGTACTGATTGCAGTACTTAATAGTTTTACTTGTCTTAATTTGGCATTCAAGAAAAAAAAACTGATTACCTTTGATCATTAAGAGTACCTCTTAATGATCAAACAAAGCACAATCATTACCCCTGCTACATAGAATAAAAACAGTTACATTTTCATCTAAATCTAATTAAGTAGAGTGAGTTCTTAACTATTTTTCTTTTACTGTTTTTTTTGCAAGCAGCCCTGCCAGATGAGTGACAGTTGTGGTTTAGATGTTAAGCTTCTAGTGATCCCAATCATACCCATGATCTGCCAAATTATCCTCCATCTCTTAACCTTCATTTGGATTTATAAAACATAACATATGCTTATGAAAATGCAGTCAAGGTATCGGTAACCTGTACTTAAAGCAGACCAAAAGTTTATTTTTGTTAATCTAATAGGCATTTATTAAACTAAAACCTTCTATGTTTTCGTAAAGATATCTGATTGTTGCTTGTCTCATAATAACAAAAAACTAAGTCCATTCAGTAGTTACTAAAATATTATCTTATAGTAGTTAATAAACAACTTTGGCCTGATGAAGATTGGTAAAAACTTTCTGGTAAAGTGCTATTTTTATTTCTACTTATGTGGAAAACTAATCAACTTCTGTTATTAGTCAGGTTGAAAAAAAATGTTTAGCCACAAATAGTATTTTAAAGTAAGCGAAGAGTTCCTTTTTTTGTGGACAATCATTTTTATGTCACAGAAGATTTAAAATGATAGACCACCATTATTTTTCTATGATTAGAATGAAAAATAGAGCTAATTAATTATCAGCTTTCTAGATAGTACTAAAATTTCCTTCTAATGAAGGATTGTTTTATAATTTATTCATTCATTGAAATGTGTAAATAGTCAAATCCCAGAAAGGGTGATTAATTGAAAGTTTGTCAGGGATCTCAGATAAGTGGTAATGTCAGCTCTGTTCTAATTGCAGAAGTGTTTAACATATTTCAGTTGTAGCTATTTCCCAAGTATCTGGGTCTAACCAAGCCCACTGTAGCACACTTGCATATTTGAGATGAAAAATGCTAAAGAAAAAACAACTAACCATGGCTGAGTGATTCAAACTAGTGCTCCCTAGATCAAAATATGAAATGCTTAAACAGACCTTGTTAGTAAGTAGTTTCTTCACATTTAAACTAATCCACCTAGCATATCACAATTTTCATTTGTGTTTGAATGGATTTACTAAATGAACATATGGATAACAGATAAGACTGAAAGTTTTTATAAAGAGCATTGAATCATTAATATGTGTTTTAATCTTGGCTTTCATTGTCTGTTTACTCACCATATATATCCACAGTGGTCCTTCCTGTTTCTTGTGGACCTGTAGCAGGTTCAATAATGACTCTGTATTCTCCACTGTCATTGAGTGTCAGATTCCTGAGCTCCAGAGATCCAGTAGATATGAAGAGTGTAATCCTATCTTCATATTCTGGTTCAGATTTATTTACACCAGACATTGAATATATAATGCGCTTAGGTGATGAACTACCAAATTGCCAGTTAACCATCAGAAAAGGTGTTTCAGTTGGATTCAAGTTTGTTTTTAACAATACTTTCCCTCCAACAGCAGCATTGAATGGGCCATCTGGTAACAAACTAATTCCATTTGATAAACCTGGAAGAAAAAAAAAGAATAGTAAGAAAAAACATTTAAGTTAAAATGTCAACATCAACAATGATGTTAACTACATCAACAAAATGAGCACTGTTATTGTTTTGAGACTTTTTATTCCAATTTGGCAGCTCGATGAAGAACAAAACACTGATTGAGGCTGAATTTCTTCCAAAAATTTGACATTTTACTCAAAGGAGAATCTTACCTGTAAAAGCCGCAACCACGATAAAAAGAGGTCGTAACATAGCACTGAATTAAATCTAGAGGTCTAACTACAGGACAGCTGAGCTCTCAAATAGAGAATTAAGGAAGCTCTGCTCTGAATCTTGGTGAACTAGAAACGCTGTAAATGATCACAGTAGGGAGCTGCCCTACAAATCTACAGCAGGTCTGAGTGTTTGAGTTAAATAGATGTCAGAGGACGCCCTCCTCTGGTAAATATATTCTGTGCTGCTCTAAACAGAGAAGTTTGATCTATGAATCAGTCCACACCATAGAGAAGAAGCAGAGGTGTAACGAGAAAATGTTAATAAGGGTGGCCAGGCAATAACCAGTGTAAACTGAGGGGTGGGCGAAAGTGGATAGGTGCTAGAACCTTATGGTCAATCTACACCAGGGGTCTCAAACCAGTTCCAAAAAGGGCCATGTGGCTGCAGGTTTTCTTTCCAACCAAGCAATCCCACACCAGACTACATTCATCTCATCAAGTCATCATGTTCAAATTGCACTCAGTTGATGAAATGACTGGAGTATGGTGTGGAACTGGTTTGAGACCCCTTATCTACACTGTTCCAAAAGGAAAATGAACAACATCCATATTTCCAAATAAAGAAAAACTATACTTTCCTACAGCCTTTGCTAACGCATATATATAAACGTTCATGCTGTCTAAATTAAAGGTGTAGTGGACAAAATTCTTTCAGTTTTGAGTTCTGGGGCGAACATCGTATACATTGTCATTACTAACCTAATTTTATTAATAATCGTTCTGCATAAAATGTATATTTACATGTTCTAATATCTACATTAATTGGATTACCTGTTATTAAAGTATTTATTTATCTCTGACTTCAGTGAAGATTCCCAGATGACTGGCAGAGACATAATTTTCTCTTTACCCAATGTAAGAAAAAATCTAGTTCTGAAAAGAGCATGAATTCTGTATTTATCATCTTTAATGTTTGTATCTTGATGTCGATAATTAACCACAGCGTTTTTGTTGTCAGGTAATTGTTTACATATAGATAATTAAAATGTGAATAAGTTAAAACATTCCACTTGGAAGTATTACTGCTGCCACCGTCAGTATTAGAGGAAAAATGTTAGGGGTGGCCAATGATTGGCTAAGGGTGGCCATGGCCACCCCCTGGCACCCCATCTTGCTTCGCCACTGAGAAGAAGATGCAATTATGAAACTAATTATCAACTTACAACGATTCCCTGGACGGATGGATGGATGAACACAACATAATAACTGGAGCTATCCCTGTAGAAGCAAATGTATCATATGGAAGTAAATCTGTGTTGCTGGGATTTGAATTAAAAATGCCACTGAAATTTAAATGTTGTATGTTTGTACTTACTGTGTTAACATATATTCAGAACACAATTTTGACCTTAAAAAAAATTCATTGGCATTATTTTTACACAGTTGAAATTTCATTTGTTATTTTCTCTAAAAGCTAAAAATTCACATTGTTATTTCAAAGTGATTACATTTTCAATAATTATTTTTCAGTTGAATTTTTCAGTGTTAAAAAAATCTGCATATAAAAAAATTCAACCTTTCAAAATTCAAACTT